ATATATATATATATATATTCTTAGTCCTGGCTTTGCTGCCAGATTTTTTCACCTCCCCCGCTCAACAACTTGAGTCAATTTTGAGTCAACTCACTTGACTCAACAAAAGATTTGAGTCAAGTTTGAGACGACTCATATTTTCATCGAGCCGCTTGAGTCATGAGTCGAGTCAAGGGAAAAAATCAGTTCCTTGTTTGAGTCAGAGTTGAGTCAGGGCCAGACTTGTGCCGGGACCAAAAATCAAGATCCAGGATCCTCAAGGTCCCACGGCAAATTCAATTTTTAGAATCCAAGGTTTCCAAGGTCCAACGGCAAATTCAATTTCTAGAATCCAAGGTTTCCAAGGTCCCACGGCAAATTCAATTTCTAGAATCCAAGGTTTCCAAGGTCCCACGGCAAATTCAATTTCTAGAATCCAAGGTTCCCAAGGTCCCATAGCAAGCATACTTTGCAGGGTCCACAGTCCCCAAGGTCCCACGACAAGAATGCATTGCAGGATCAACAGTCCCCAAGGTCCCACGACAAGAATGCATTGCAGGATCCACAGTCCCTAGGGTCCCACGACAAGTGTGAATTTCAGGATCCACAGTCCCCAAGGTCCCATGACAAGTACACACTTCAGAGTTCAGGGTCCACAGTCCTCAAGGTCTCACGGCAAGAACACATCTCAGGATCCAAAGTATTCAGGGTCCCACAACAAGAACTTAAACAAACTAACATTCTGATGAGCAGACTTACTTCTAAATATTCTGCCAATGGATGCCCAGCAACATTTAAAGGGGCAGAACCTATATGCAAACCTGTGGACTGTGGTGGTTTTATCGTTAACCAACATAGGTAGGGGGAGCTTCAACACAAGTTAAAAATGAATCATAATATCAATCTCTCCTTTAACCTGACAAATTCGTAAAAAATATAGGTAGGTAATAGGTACCTTGCAATTTGTATTGTCATGTCCCTTTCAATTCAATCTTACCTTATCAGTAGGAATGTAGGATAGCACCTTACAGTTATTGAAGACAGACATTCAAGGATTCTTTCAGGCAATATAAAAAAAAAAACAAATAAAACCTACAGGCTTCATAGAAATGGAAAAGTTGAATTGGATAGTTATATGCTTTCGATTTTCTGCACATTCAGTTACATAATACCTAGGATAAAAAGAAAATATGTTCTAAGTCTTGTTTGCGCGAGCGCTCACAGAAAAACTGATCGACTAATCCAATAGAATTAGAGTATCAGCGAGCGCAAACCTTACTTACTGTTCATTCACATTAGATTGAAGGCTCTGAACAAAATTCCATCTGACAATTTTTTCGTCAGCCGGTTATTCGTCGGCAGATTTTCGTCTGACTTTTTCGTCTTGCATTTTTTCGTCTGTTCGAATTAATTTGGTGCATTTTTCGTCTGAGTACTTTTCTGTCCGGCATTTTTTCGTCTGGACGAGGCGGAAAATGTCCTTATGAAAATAATGCGCGGACTTAAAAATGCACAGACGAACAAATGCATAGACGAAAGTCTGCGGACGAAAATCTGCAGACGAAAAATTGTCCGACGAAAACCTGCTAAACGAAAAAGTTGAACTGTCATGGAATGATTGCTTATATTGCTCATTGCTCAATGGTGATTTGATGAATTGCAAAACAAATAAGTTTGACACTTACTTGGTCAGTGGGTAGCTTCCAAGTAGCTTCAAGCCCGGCATATCACAACCCAGAAAATATGTGAGGTGAGATTAGAAAAGAACTTTCCAAACCACCACTGTCCACTGTTTGACAGTTTCATAATCCATAACATTGATAATGTAAAAAGCTACCAGGTCTCTTGTTCCAGTTCTGCCTCACAACCATGGCAATGATTTTGCTCTATATATGTCTACGACTCTACACAGTCTGGTTCGTTTTCTCTTCGTGTAGCTATCTAGCCCCTTGCAGCTGGTCGCTCAACCATAGATATTTATTGAAGTGCTTACAGACAAAACCTAGTGCAGGGTCCTTAGTGGCCCAAGTGCAACATAAACCTCATGATGGTCCAGCTTCCAGGATTCTTGAGGTCCCTCAACAAAATGGTGGTGTAGGTCCAGACCGTTCTCCTAAGATCCCATGACAAATAATAAAACTGGTACTGAAGGTCTGCATTCTGCAGGGTCTTGCAGCATACCAAAATTTTGAGGTCCTAACCCCTGGGTTTCCATGGTTTTACGGCATATGAAATGTTGAGGTCCTGGGTTTCTAAGGTCTCATGTCACATGAAATGTTGATGTCCTGGGATTCCAAGGTCTCACGGCATATGCAAATGTTGAGGTCCTGGGATTCCAAGGTCTCGCGACATATGCAAATGTTGAGGTCCTGGGATTCCAAGGTCTCGCAGCATATGGATGTTTTAAGGTCCTGGGATTCCAAGGTCTCGCGGCATATGGATGTTTTAAGGTCCTGGGTTTCCAAGGTCTCGCGACAAAAATGACAATGCAAGGTCCAGGATCCATCAAGGTCCCAGACCTTGGACTCTGCGAACCCTGGATCTCGGATCTTTTTGGGACCTTGGCACAAGTCTGGTCAGGGCTTTTTGAAGTTGAATGATGAGTTGAGTCGGCACATTTTTTTGAGTCGAGCACAACCCTGCCTCGCCGGCACAGGCCATTTTGCGTCCTTCGACGGCACAAGGGGAGGGGAGGGTACAACCCCACTCGCGTTTCGCCCCTGATCAAGCTAGAGCTTTATGGAAAAAACAAAACAAACGTGTTGCCCGTCACGAGTGGAAACCGATTATATCCCATTTTTAACCCTCGCATGTGTGCGGCGTTTGCCAGCTTCTAAAGTGTAGGGGGGGATCGGTTGGACCCCCCCTTGCCGTTTGGCCCCTGATCGAGCTAGAGCGTCGCTTAAAAAACGAGCGTGTTGCCCGTGACGAGAGAAAGCCGATGATGCCCAATTTTAAGGCTCTAGGTCATTGGTTGAGTGTCGCTGCTATGTTTTTTTATTGGGGGGGGGGGATTGCTGATCACCAATATCGTGCTACTTTTGATCACAGATGATGTCTTTAAGCATTTAGACCAGGTCAGGTCAGGTCAGGTCAGGTCAACCAGTAGGGGTCGTGACGGATATTCGTAGTACCTGTCAACCGCCTCTGCAGACAGCTTCGTAACATGTTACGAAGGCTCCAAAACTACTTCGTAAATGTTCAAATGCTTTCTAAATTCGAACTCATCTCCAAAAACCAGCATAGATATATGTAAAACTCGAAAAAGTGAACCGAGGTCACCAAAGATCAATGACCTGACCTGGCCTGACCTTCAGGTGACCTTGCCATCCACCCTATTGCATGGGAGCAACACCAAATCACATGTATGAACGTTTGAAACCACGAAAAGCTTGCAAACGCGCGGCTAATGCGAGCCGACATACGCCGAATCGCGCTTCCGGCCAAACATGGCCTCGGAAAGTAGGTCACATGTCAACGGTCATTTTGGTCAGGGTCATGAACTTTTCAGGGTAGATGTGAAATTGATCAATGCGAGGGTACTGAAAGCTTTGTCACAATCGGCTGCTTTTTACGCGAGTTATTCGCTTGAAGCCTTGGGTGGGGGGGGGGGGGGGGTGGCGGGTGCATCAACTTCCCCCCGTGCCGGCGAGGGTTACGGAGACGTATCATGATGTGAGATGACTTCAGGGGCATAAAATGGGTCAAGAGTGGAATTTTGTGATTCGGTGTGCCATTATTCACCTGTATCCGGGTGCCATCGCTAAAAAGAGGAGCATTTTGACCTGACTTTATGATGTGACCAGGTGTCAACAATTCCAGACACGATACGAAATTCATAAGTTGTGCCAAGTTTTGCGTCGCTGTGCGCCGCAGTTTCCGTTACAGACACACACAAACATTGACAAGTGTGGCCAAACACCCCACCCCCACCCCCACCCCACCCGGGAGAAAATAAACGATGTAAATTGCTATAACTAATCTCACTGAGCTAAATGCGATCGTGACTACTTACAAGCATCAAATTCGAGTCGACACAGAAAGACCAGCGATTCGCAGCAGGCCCCCTAGCCACAGATATGTGACTGTGAGCGATAAGGCAACCAGCGCGGCGCGTCCCTGACCCGGTCAAACGCGTCTGTAGCGAGTGTGAGGCCAGAGAGATATACTGTGCCGCTGAGCCTGGGTGTGAGGCGGCACAGTCTACCGTTGAGGCCAGAGGGATGTGCTGTGCCGCTGAGCCTGGGTGTGAGACGGCGCAGTCTACCGCTCCAGTCAAACGCTGGGCCGTCGGGGGGCGAACATCACTTAGTAGGTGAGTGTACCTACTTCGTTAAATTTTCGATTCTCGCTACGTTGCCGTTTCGTCGTTGGAATAGAGTTACGCGGCAGCATATTGGGGCTGCGAGCCACCGTCCAAAAGCAACTTAAATTGTCAACAGCAATGCAAAGAAGTCTGTTATTGCTCAGAGCTTGCTTTTTGAAGAATTAACAAGTGATACAGTACGTTAAGAAGGCAGCTGTATTCTTGAAACGGATTGTTTCGAGGCAAGTACCCGGAATCATTCAGTCTTTTCTGAGCTCTGCTTGAGTTATTTTCTATACCATCGACAAAGACTACCGTGGCAGACGCACCGATGCTGCACTGAAACTTTCCGCCCCGAAAACATGGGATAGCTCACCCCGATCGTGTGCAATAAGACCACGCCCTTATAACTTCCCACCGCCCAGCCGGCCGCCCGGCAGATGTCGTGGCGCGCGGTGCCGATAAGGCGCTGCCGCCGCCGTGCGGCGTCGAATTCTCGCCCTTATTGACACCGGCCGGTCGGCGGGCGTAACATGGTCCTCTTTAAGCCGTTTGAGCAGCGCCTAGCAGTAATACTTTTCGAAAAAAGGGGTATCATTGGACTCAGAAAAGAATACCGCACCACATGAGCCATGAGCCCATATACTTTTCCAAAATTCGGTTTTTTTGAACAACCCTAATGCGCATGTTTCCCCTAACCGCTATTTTGTTTCAGAAAATGGACATCAACGGAGATGGTGTCGTAACTATGGAGGAATTCGTGGAACTGTGCAGTAATGTAAGTGTTCAACCAATGTGAGTTATCCCCCAAAGCACCCTCTATCCACCTTCGGTGCCCGTCGAGTCGTGCTCGGATAATTGCACGGTCGGCCAATCCATTCAGTATCGCAGTTCTGTATTACTATTAACAATGTCATCACCCGTTAGTTCCCTGCGGTCCGTTTTTGGCCGACCCCATCACACCAGCTCTGCACGAACACGGCCCCTGCAGCTGCGTGCTGGAGGGGAGCGGGCCGGCCCGGCCGGGGTCCCTCGTCGTCCTGTATCGGTCCGGTATCCAGGCTGGTGAATGAGGCCAAATTGAATTGCCCGCCTCGACTGCCGTCGCAGTCCCATGCGATTTCTGGAAGTTAAAATACCTGAAGCAATTCCGTCCGAGAAATTGGAAATAATTTCCCGTTGTAATTTAATTTGTTTCCTTAGTTAGATCCAAGGTAGCAGCCCGCCGTAAGGCTTATGTTCTTGATACTCAGTTTCGATTTAGGCATAAACTGCTAGGAGTGATGAAAGGAGCATGACTTTCACTTCTTGATGCTTCTTGTTATCACTTCAGACTCGGGTTATTTCTAACTTGTATTGTATCATGAAAAATTGCTGATTGAAAGGACGTCTTCGCAACTATTTACGTAAACACTTTACGCAAACAAGAAAAATGTAGATTAATATCGATCGTATGTAGACGGTGACCACTGGCCATTTATTCGTCAGTTCGCAGTCTGCCAGTTAGCAATGCGTGACGACGAATCCCCGTTTGGCAGGATGAGACGATCGCGGCCTCTCTGAACCTGTTGGACACGTGTTTCTGAGCCGTATGTCTCCCGGAGTCTCTCTGCGTCTCTCTGCGTCTCCGTACGTCTCCCGTCAGCCATCACAGAGACAAGAAACAAGGCCGGAAGCCGGCAGCTGGACGCATCAGTATCATGTCTTGGGACGGAGCTTCGAGAACTATGTCGCTGCAATGTATGTACCATATAAATGTATATCGCTGAAATGTGTCATCACAATGTTCGCTGAAGTGTTGACTGCAATGTGCTGCTGCAAAGCGCTGAGCTGTGCTGCAGGAAGTTTCAGATGTATGTACATTCCTACCTAATGTGTGCGCGAGTTATTCGTACATATATGTTATACGCCATTAAAACATTGTCCGATCTCCCAGACTGATGCCAGTCCTCGTTACCCGGAATCACAACTCGTGTGGTGATCGCCCCACCACCACAAAAGGTCTCAACGTTGTGGGAAGCTGATTGCTGCTACGGCTTGTAGCGATGTTCCGCGCATATCTGCGGTTTATAGCTGTCCGATTCGGCGTCAGACCTCGCTGCAGCTGCCGGTCACGTAGCTGGCTTCTGAAGGCGCTGGTGTCGCTGTGGATCTCTGATGAAGCCGGCCGTTTTGTGCAGCTGTGGCGAGCTCGCAGCTGACAGCTAACCGATGCTATTATTTCATCAATCCTTTACCACACATAAGTTGGGTATTGGAGGAAAGAGGCGAGCATTTCACTTCAGCTATGGCGCTAGTCGTTTTAACCCGTTGGTGAAACATTCCGTTGCCAGAAATATGTGATTGTCGGGAGGGAAATCGTCGTCAAGTGGCAATTCTTCCTTCCATTGGCAGTGCTTTATTTGGCGGTGGACAGAAATATATGATGTGCAGTAGTGCTTACGACGCTGAAGCCACAAACATGTCGTACCCGAAGGCTTTGTCCGCATGTGTGATATATGTTGGTTATGTTATCGTTCAAAACTTTATCTGACAAGGCTGGCAGTGTCTCGACCGGTAAGTAAGTGGCGCTTTATTTGGTCGTAAGCTCTCGCGAAAAGAGACTCGTGCTACAGGCCAACTAGCGGCTATTGTATTCGTCGCCGTCCGTTCGCGTTGTAAGACAGCCAGGGATATAACTGTGAGATCATATGAGATGAACTGTGAGAGTTAAAAGAGTGTTAAGGATTATTTTAGAAAAGTGTGGAATTGCCTGTTACAGCTTATGAAGTTATGACAGTGAGAGCTCCTGAGATAATCCTGCGAGAACGCGAGAAGAGCGCTTGACTTCCTGTAAAAGAATCTGGGACTGCTTCTAGTCATGAGAACGTGTGGGCCACCAGCAAAAATTAATGAGGCTGCATGCGAGAACTTATGGCGTGCCTGTAAGAGCGTTGACTGCCTGTGAGAGCCCCGTGAGCCTGTCCGTGAGAGAGTGAGCAGCGCGCTCCGCTTTAGTGGTGGCCGGGCGCCGGTTTGTTGTGTCGGTATGAGCACTCCGCGCACACCGCAGGTCACGTCACGGCCGCCCCACACTCACACATACACACCCACTGTCAAAACCATGTGTTTGTGTCATGTTTATCTGTGAAATATACAATTTGTGTCATGACGCGAGTGGTTTGCAGCAAAGCTGTGCTCCATTTAGTTGACAAGAGACACCGTCATGCAGGCACGTTTGTGCTTTTCAAACACTGTTTAGTTATTACGACGATAACAGGTTTTGTTATGGTTAAGAAAGGAGCTGTAAAGGTTTCGACTTTCTACCAGCTGTCCGATATAATTTGATTGATTTGCTTGAGGTCTAAATGCTCACGCAATACGTTACAACACGACAGCGACTCCACCTAATACCTAAAGCTGGCATAGAATGCCGACGTCATGCTAAATCGATAATGTTTTCCGATATCACAGGAAGCACACTTGTATGCCACAGCCGGACGGAAACAGACGCTGTGCTTTTGTCGCCCCCCCCCCCCCCCCCCACACACACACATACAAACAGTCGCGCGCACCTGACCTTCATCGTACCCCGGAGGCGCCGCGGCGTACGTACCATATCACCTTTCGATGCATGTATCGGCCGCGGCGCATAACGGCCCAGCCATGAGCGGCCGGCTGTCGGTACGCAGATAATGTGTCGTCCCGCACAGTGCAGCGGTGACGCCGGGGACTGAGAGAGCCCGCCCGTGTCTGTGTCTGCGCCACAACTGTGATCAATATGAGCCGGACCGGGGTGCAGGAGGTAAACACTCCGTCGTGCAGGTCGCAGCGGGACGAATGTGTTCTCCAACTGCGACTAGACGGGCGAGGTTTGAATTCCAGACTTCTGAGAACTAAAGTTGCACACTTAAGTTTCACGTGACTATTTGTGAGCCCAAGAGAAGACGGAAGGGAAGGCTTATCATAGGCGTTAGGCATTCAATAGACGACTTCAGCCAATGCAAAGTAAAACTTAAATTAAGCTTAAACAAAACAGTTTATGATGATCACACGATTTGGCAGCACCCAGCGAAAAGTTGAGCTGATCATGTTTAGATGACGAAAAAGGCTCATAATTGATATTCATGTATGATAAAGCATAATTGGCATTTTGCAAGCGGCAGCAGCATTGTTCTCTCCACATCTGGAAAAAAAACATTACCTACACCAAAACGATCCATTATTATCCAGTTTAAAGGTAGTGTGCCAGCTTTCTTGGACCGTATGGAGTTAATGGCCCAGATAAGGAGAACCGGATTTTTAGAACTTATCCATACCTTCAAAACTCATGGAAACGTCTTAAATTCTTCAAATTTTGAGTACCCCAGTGCGAAATTCGCCCCGACGGGTTGTCGGTCGTAGGGTAACCTGGGGCAAGACGCCCCAGATAATTTATTTTGCTTTATAACTTTTGTCCCACATAACCTGGAAGGCCAAATTTGTGCTCAATGCGTTCTTTGGACATTTTACTTTAAATTCCATCCCTCAAATTCATTCAATTATGATCGGACTCCCAGCTAGGAAGTGGTTTGTGAAGCAACTGCAAATAGGGCGTTTTGCCCCAACCCCAGGGCAAAACGCCCCACGGCCTGGGGCAAGAAGCCCCATACTCTAGATTAAAGATTAAACATGCTAGTTGACTAAATCTTATATGAAAGGTCCGTTAGACCTTGGGAGGCATGGCACTGAAGTTAGCACCTTTCATCCTATCAGGTGTCCAGCTACGACACTATTGTATGAGCAGGTTTTTCACCTGCCTCATAAGGCCAAATAATAAATTATTGCAATGCAAATGCTAACAAAATACTTCCTTTGCCATCCAGTTGCTGAGAAAAGTACATATAAATGCATAGAAACATGCCGTTCGCCAGCTACCGAACATTAGGAGGTGGGTAGTCCGAACAACACATGAGGTAAAACGCCCCATGGGGCTTTTTGCCCCGCGACCTACTGGGGCGTTTTACCCCATCACGTAGTTCGGTCAGAGAACAACGCCTTGCACTCCAGGAAGACATAATTTAACACGAACCAACCCGGCATTATAAGCGTTAGACAATAGCTGTTCAAAATACATAAAAGTCGTTAACCTGATGTGGACGATAAAAGAACGCCATGATGCATAATCTGACAACAAAACATAAAAATCGCTCCAAAAACACATTTTTGGCTATATCTCCCTAAAGAGTCACCACAATTTATTTCCGGTCTGCTCATATAATGATCGTATAGTGCACGTTTTATAGAAGAGAGGATGTTTCCCCAGAGCCTTGCCAGTTCCGAGAAACATCGGTGAGGCGTTTTACCTCGGCGGGGCGACTTGCCCCGGTCTACCCTACCCCAACCACATTTCACACCACTATGAACAATAAATGCACACACTGAAATCGCTATTACCGATATGCTCATCCAATCAAGTTTCGATAAACCCGTTCATCATCATCTCCTGCGGTTTCGAACACGCCTGTTAGGTGGCTTCTGATGCTCGTCGAGGTCGGAATTTCCAAATACGCGTGGTGCGTCGGGCCGCGCGCTCTGACTTCGGCCAAGAAAAATGCGTCAGCTGATCATTGTCATTTCTGCCACTTGCGTGTGGTGAAATGGGGTCATAACTTATAAGACGACTTTTTCATATCAATTATTTTACATAAAATCATATTTCAAACCATAAATAATGTTCGACAGCCAAATAAAAGAAACAATACCCATACGGGCTTACAGTTTAAGGCTCGACATTGTGTTGTCTACGATTAGACAGCTGATAACTCATTCCCGTACGTCGTATGGTCGTAACACTATAATGACCTTTGCTTATTGTCACAAGTGCGCCGCATTCGCGATTGTTGCCCGACGCCTGTTTGCAGGTGAGCCCACTACAGTTGTTATACATATCTAAAAACCGAAAAACTTTTAGGCGAAAAAGGCACTATTCCAGGCCCATTTTTGATTTTTTTGCGATATTAGGTAAAAACAGAAGCTTCTTATCCTAGGAAAAATAAAATGGGAAATCTTTCAAAGGTGGCACACTACCTTTAACACTAATGGCTGTCTCTGTGTTTCCGTCTGCTTGTTTGAGAAACCGTCTTTCCGACACGGTCGTCATTTTCTTCCAGCACCCCATAAAAGCGTGTCTGTGTACGGCCAACGTGACTTACGAGCTCTCCCGGCCGAGTAGTCCCACAGGAGGCTGCCCCGGGGGCATCATTCGTCGGCTGGTGGCACGCCTGCCGCCTACCTGAGCCGTTTTTTCTTTCATCCCGCACACGGCGGCGGTTGCAATCGTCGTTCGGGTGCCGCCTCGGCTGTTGGTGCCGTGTGCCGCCGGTCATCCCGGCGGCGGCGGCGGCGGCGACGGCCAGGTGCACTGACCCCGCCCCGGGCCACCCGCCGCTCCGCCGCCGCCGTGTCTCGCGGAGGCCGCGCGGATTGGAGGTCAGCCCGGCGGACGGGCGGAGAGCGGAGGAGAGGAGCGGCGGGCAGAGACGCGAGCGGAGGGGTGCGGTGTGGAACGGCTGCTCGCTGAGCCGGGTGTGGTCACTGAGCCGACACAGCGCCGGGGATTGTCGCTCTGTGGCTGCCGCTGAGCCGCACACGGCTGTTAGCGCCGGAGATCGAGGCTCCGGGATCAGTCCGGGTCCGGAGACTGATCCGGGCGGCTCCGGGGGTCGTCTGACGTCAACTGGAGCGGTCCGAGATGGCAGGGAAGACGGAGCTGACGGGACTGCTGCCGCTGCCCGACAGGTGGGTGCCGCCACCGAGCTTCCGCGCGCACTGCGCTGATGAACTGCTAGCATGTGTGCATTGTGCATTTATTGTTAGCGACGGAGCAGCTGATCCAAAGACACGCACCGTTCAAAAGTTAACATTAGGTAGTTCATTAACTCATGTAATTCATTGGTTACTGGTTAGGTACCTCTTACGATACGCTAAATGCACAAATTCTAAATGAACAAATTGCAGCAAAATCCTCACTCGACAAAGCTCGGCAAAATCATGCATTCCTAGACCTCAGAAGTTCATTCGATATTTCATAGTACCTACTGTTGGCATCGCCTACCTTCACTCACACTACGCGTGACTCGAGACCGTAATTAGTCATTAGTCCTAAAAACAGTCCACAAGGACACAAGGGAGACATTTGCCAGTAAACGTCCGAACCGGAATAAAAAGACCGTTAATAAATTATGACATTACAATTATCGAGAAATAAGCTGTTTCGTATTATCCTATTTTTTTATCTTATCACGAACCTTTATCTGTACTAGATAACGAAATCAAGATAGACACGCATATAGGTATTTCGAAAGAGTTGGTGCAAATTACATGTAATGATAACAAATTAGTTAAGGGTAAGCTAATTCTTGAAAATACTGTTGAGTAAATATGAAAGAAGTACCCAATGTTATTATATCATTATAAATGCGTGAATATTTAACTGAGCACCAAGCCTTGAGTTTCCCTGGTTCGACAAATTGTTTAGGTATTATCTTTACGATGGGTTATCAGAAAATATATAGGTACGATTTAAATAAATGAACAAAGATGTATCGGACAGTTTCATGGTTGTATTTCTTTCCACCTCGTCAGTGGTGGGTAATAAATTGTCAAGCAGCTATGAATGAGGTACATTTTTAAAAAGAAGCTGAGTTCGTTCCGGCGCTTCTCTCCGCTCATTGCCTAACTGCATGTTTAACTTAATCCCGCGCAGTCCCACAGTAGGTGCATCGCAGCTCTCCGCCCGTTGCCCAGCTGAGTTCTATCCCGCGCCGCTCTTCGCCCCGAGCCCATGTGAGTTTTATCCCGCACCATTCTCCGCCCGTTGCCCAGCTGAGTTTTATCCCGCGCCCCTCTCCGCCCTGAGCCCAGCTGAGTTTTGTCCCGCGCCCCTCTCCGCTCTGGGCCCAGCTGAGTTCTACCGCGCCGCTCTCGCTCAGTGTCAGGGCCGAGATCTGCGGTTCACTGACCTTCCGTCACCTGCCGCCGCGCCGCTCGCGCAGCATCCCAGCCTACCTGGACTGTACGCCCCTGGCACCGGTCTCCGGGCGGCCGGCCGCGACACCGTGGTCTCTAACAGACCAGCGACGCTGTGAGCTGCTTACTTGCTATATCGCTGAAGTCTTATTACAGATTAGTAACAGACATTTTTAAAAAGCTTGCAAGCATTAGCAATTATATAGGTATGCGACGCTGTATCGCCCACCTGGCACCTGACCTATAACCTATCGTGCCTAGCACATAGGTATTTTAAACAGGTGGCCCATCTAATAGCCGTTTTCCCGACGGCCATCTGGTACACATTTGGTGCACATTTGGTGCAGAGTAGGTGCAGATTTGGTCAAATTAGGTTTAGTGTGTCTCTTAGTAGTTATTAGCTAGGGTTGCACTAATTGCTTATATACCTGCTTCGTCATATTATCAGACATTACCATCGATTAAAACACTGAAATAAATTCAAAAACGAAGGTATTTGCTGTAAAACAGATTAGGTGCAGATTTGGTCAAACTAGGTGCATTCGCCGGATAGCCCGTCGTGAAAACGGCTATTATCTTTATCTTTAGGACGTGCTACGTAACCGACCATGCCGAAACAAGACAAGGCAAACATTACGATAACTATCGCATGCTACATGCGCGCATGACGCACTGCTTCTCGCTGTGATGAAAAGGACATAAGGCAAATCCTGTCACCGTATCTATCTGCATAATGAATATCCTGTCATCCTGAGGATAAGGCTGACAGACTGGCGACAGTCTCCTGGGACACGGCTGTGCGGACATACGAGAGCGTCGACTGACAGGCACGTAGCTAGGATTTGGCCAAGGGAGGGGCGGAGGAATCCCGGGGGCCTCCTTTCTACAGAGGGCCTCCTCCCTAAAGGGACCTCCTTTCTACAGAGGGTCTCATGCCTACATAATTACATATACAACATAATGCATTCACTTTTGTTCAGCTTTCATATGGCCAGCGCACTGGTATGTTTCTTTATTCTTACCGCTACAGCGGTAAGAAACATACGCATACCACAAGTCTCCGAGTGGCATGGTAACTGGAAAAAAAACTCGGGCGCCGGCGGCAGCGGCGGTGGCGGTCGAACTGCAGCAGGAGGGGGAGGATCTGCGAAGGAATGGGTGGATACTGGATGACGGTCAGAGTAACATTTGGTGTATTATCATATATCGTTCAAGCGCTTAACCGTATTCCGGGCGGGCTCTGAAAGACCCTGAATCGGGCGGGGGCCTTTTTGGCCCCCGTCAGAACTCGAAAAGCACGAATCGTAGCGACAAACGGCAGCGGCGTTTGATAGTTCGTTGAACGACTTACAACTTTTGTAAACAACTTTTTTGGGTCAGGTCAATATTGAGGTCGCCAGAGGTCATAACAAATAACATGGTTCATAACGACCTACATAGATAGGTCAACTTCAAAATCTGACCTAGGAAGGTCACGCTGGGTACCAATCGACGCGTCATGACCAGGCGAACGGTTTGGTACACTAACAACTATTTAGCCCCATCATGTCGTGATTTATTGGCTAAAAACTGTTGATGACCTCACCTCACCTCAGATGATCCTTCCCGGTGCCCCTGTCAGTAAATGCTATCTGGGCGCTTACAGATTAGATAATCTGACGTAATTCAGAAAGAATTGGGTGGTTTTGACTCGTTTTCTCGAAGCAGGACACAGTTCATTATATTTTCCAATAGGCTTGTCACGATTCTGACCTGACTGACGTCTGCAAGATTGAAACTATACGGTTATCAATTCTTTCTGTGTGAATGATGCCACGTTTACTTGCTGTAAGTAAGACATGGTTTCGTTAGTAAATTTTCCTAGGTCCAGGTGGTTTGCTTCATTTACGCTGTAGATGCAATAAACAATAGATGGATAGGTGTATATATTAATTTCCCGGTCAAACAAATTATTACGAGTTGTGCGAAGCATGGCTATGGGAATATTACCACGGTCTGATAAATGGCTCGGGTAATTGCATCCATCGTAAAAATACCTACACAGCCACAGGTATATTTTACAGAAATGGGCTGCTGTGTTCATGCATTAACCCGCGCCCTGCCGGGGGGTGTTAAACACCCCCTGCAGTTTTCCGTGAATATCTCAAAAACGGCGGCGCGGCACACTTTACCCTACATCATTACTACATATGTTGTGAAAATTTCAGACCCTGGTCACTTAAGGTCAGGTCATCAGGTCAGGTCAAATGACCTCACTACATAAAAAGTTTCAATGTCTGCCAAAGCTACACGGAGTGACCAAACGCTTTGAAACTTTCAGAGATGCAAATGCAAAAGAGCGACAAAATGTTAAAAAATGTATGTCTTGGAATTTTGATATCGATGACATAAGGTCAGGTCAATTTTGCGACGTTAAATTGAAAGTCGTCTTTTTAGACGGAAGTCATTATAAACACTCTAAAACACTGAATTACTAGTATCTTTGACACACTGAACATGAAAATGGCACCCGTGACCCCTTTTTATAACCCTGAGGTCATCTCAGGTCACCAATGGTATCTGACTGTTTCTCGCGAATAACTTTTGATAGAGGCATGCTAGAGCGATGAATACACCTTAGTTGTCTTTGGCTCGACGATACGGATGGACTGATATAGAACTTAACCCTTATCGGTCAGGTCATGACCTTGACCTGAGGCCAAATTTTCAAGTTGACCTTTTAAGGTCAATTGATAGTTCATTCCACACGTCTTGACGAGAGGAACACGATGCTGGTAAAGGGAAGTTCGTGCAAATTTTGAGACTAAAGTTATTGCCGGAAACTGGTTTCCTAAAATACTATATTGGCTATTTTGGCAGTTTTTGCGGCCACTGCAGGTAAAACCGTTGACGGCAAAACCGTTGACGGCACCCGGCATGATTTCTCTGAGCGCATTTATACAAATAATTTCTCTACATAGGATAGGGTCTTCTGTTTACAGAGGACCTCCTCCCCTGTCCCTTCCTACAGTGGGCGGCGACGCGGTTGGGAGTCTATTCTGTACAGTTTCCTGAGTTCTCAGTTCTCACTATAGTGAGAACTGAGAACTCTCTATAGGGAGTAGCAGGGACCAGAAGCCAGAAGGTAATTTGCTTACAGTGGGCCTCCACTCTATGTACTTAATATACGACGCTGTCTTTGACTACCGGGGGCCTCCTGTCCATAGAGGGCCTTTAATCTACAGAGGGCTTCCTCTCTACAGATTGCCTCTTATCTACAGAGGGCCTCCTCTCTGCTGAGGGTGTCTTTCTTTCCAGAGGGCCTCCTTTACAGAGGGAGTCCTCTCTACAGAGGGCCTCCTCTCTAGTCTCTACAGGGACCTCCTCTCTACAGAGGGCTTCTTATCTATGTAGGGCCTCCTCTCTTCAGAGTCTCGTCTCTACAAGGACCTCCTCTATACAGAGGACCTCATCTCTGCAAAGGGCCTCCTCTCTTCAGAGGGCCTTCACTCTACAGAGGGCCTCCTACCTACAGAGGGCCTCCTACCTACAGAGGGCCTCCTACCTACAGAGGACCTCCTTTCTGCTGAGGGAGTCCTCCTCTACAGAGGGCCTCCTCTCTTCAGACGATTTCCTCTCTACAGAGGGCCTCCTCTCTTCAAAGGGCCTTCTGATTTCAGACGGTTTCCTCTTTACAGAGGGCCTGCTCTCTACAGGGGGCCTCCTTTTTACAGAGGGCCTCCTTTTTGAAGAGGGCCTCCTTTTTGCAGAGGGCCTCCTCTCTACAGGGG